CCTAACCGGAAGTTGTAGACTTACCCGTAAGTCTACACACTTATACCAAATTAACCTAACCGGATTTAACCAAGTTCGATTTTTAACTTGATTGAAATTTAACCAAACCAATTTAATCTAACCGGAAGTTGTAGACTTACCCGTAAGTCTACACACTTATACCAAATTAACCTAACCGGATTTAACCAAGTTCGATTTTTAACTTGGTTGAAATTTAACCAAACCAATTTATTTTTTTTTGAAAGAATTTTAAATTTATTCAAAAAAAACAGTGTTACAACTAGAGAAACTAGTGCTACCAGAACTAAAAAGAAAAAAATTACAACTCTTATGTCAAAACCAAAAACCACCAGACAAATCCCAAAAACTCAAAAGCATCCCCCCTCAAGAATAACCATATGGAACAAGTCATTTTTGGAATGAATATGAGATGATCCTCATTAAAACCTTGTTAAGGAAAACCCAAATGGGACAAAACCTTAACAAGGAAAAAGAGTGAAAATCTCATATTCAGGAGGATGCTTGACCCAAAAAACCCTGCCACTAAGACTAAAACACAAGAGAAAACCACCAAAACAAGTATTCACCCCCAAAATCAAAACAAAACTCGCATTCTTATCTCCCCAACCAAGTCTGCATTGCCTTCTCGTACTTAATCCTGTTTTTCCTTTGAAGAGAAGTAACTCTGTTTTTAATAATATTATCCAGCCTCTGAATAAGAAAAGAGACAGGATGCTCCACTTCACCAACCCTTCTCCCATTTCTCTCCATCCATAATAAGTGTATCACAGCTTGGAAACAGTATCTCAAAAGAAATGTGGAATTCCTCTCATGTGAGCCTTTAACCACCACTTGAAGCACTCGATCCCAATTATAAACTCCACCAGTACCAGCCAACTTACCAACAATCCCACTCCACACATCTTTTGAATACTTACAATCGAAGAAAATATGGTTTCTGGATTCGTTCATCTCCTTACATAACCAACAAGTAATATTAGCAAGAGGATTCCAAGCTAAAATTCTGTCACCAGTAGCTAGTCTATTAAGAGTAGCAATCCAAGCAAGAAAAGCAAAACGAGGAGTAGCTTCCTTAAACCAAATGCCTTTACTCCACTGAACTTTTGGACCTCGAGTTCTAACCTGCTCCCAAGTTTGAGAAGTGGAGAAATTAGCTCTGAAATCCCCATTATCCTGCTTCCAAAGACAAACATCATCCTTCCTATTAAGACCCTGACGCTTCAACTTTGTAATCTCCTGCTCAATCTGACGATACACAGGAATTCTATGCAATCTACTTTTATACAACTGCAAAGCTCTCTCTATAGTAGAATACAGAGGGATACCCAGAGCAGTACAGCCTCTCTCTCCAGTAACATCAATCAACTTACCCAGAGAAGACCATTTATCCAACCAAAATAAAGTCCTATTACCGCTATTAATCTCCATTTGGTAAAAATTATACGCTTCAGGCCTTAACTTCATCAACTTTTTCCACATCCAAGATCCCAAACTACTACTCTCCTTTATACTCCAAAAAGAGCTTTTCCTTATAAGGTATTTCCATATCCATTTAACCCACAGAGAATTCTTACTCGATAAAATTCTCCAAATGAGCTTAAGACATGTAACCTTATTAGCATCATTAAGATTTCTCAAACCAATACCACCTTCATCCTTTGGCGTACAAACATCATACCAGGAGATCTTTGCTTTAGAAGTCGATAGCACCGGGCCTGACCAAAGAAAAGCCCCACAGATACTATTAATTTCCTTTATGCACGCTTTAGGCAACCGATAAGCAGACATCCAGAAGTTAATAATGCTATATAGAACAGATCTTATAAGCTGAAGGCGACCCGCGAACGAGAGATGCCTTGCCGTCCAAGAAGAAATACGAGATCTTATCTGAGCAATAAGAGGGCCATAGTCTTGAACATTCATCTTTTTAGTAAGAAGTGGCAAACCCAAATATCTCACCGGTAAGGAGCCAGCTTCAAATGGGAATTGCTCCAAGATATCCTCACTATCCTCAGCTTTAACCCCTGCCAAATAAAGGGTAGACTTCTCTAGACTTATAGATAATCCAGACATCTCTGCAAACTTCTTGAAAACCTTCAAAACGCCTTCAATGGAGTTCTTCTTACCATCAGAAAAAACAAGCACATCATCAGCGAAACAAATGTGCGTCAGTCTCAAGTCCCTACAATAAGGATGATAACCAGTGTGTCCCTGCATTGCCGCTCTATCAAGAAGCTTAGAGAGGACCTGCATACTTATCACAAAAAGATAAGGCGATAAAGAACATCCTTGTCTCAGCCCCCTCTTACTATTAAAATACCCCGCAAGCTCACCATTAACCTGTATAGAGAATGAGGCTAGCTCGATACATTTCTTAATCCAGACAATAAATTTAGCAGGAAAATTAAGAGCTTCCAGGACATTGAGCAGAAAAGACCATTGCACTGAGTCGAACGCTTTAGAGATGTCAATCTTAATAGCACACCTATCAGAAACAGAATCCTTATGGTAATTCTTCACCAACTCAGAAGCAAGCAGAACATTTTCCATGATCAATCTGTCCTTAACAAAAGCAGACTGGTTGAGGGAGATGAATAAAGGCAAAAGAAGCTTCATGCGGTTAGCTATAATTTTCGATATCACCTTGTATAGCACGTTGCAGCACGATATGGGACGATAATCCTTCATGGTTTCAGCCTTAGTAGTCTTCGGAATAAGAGCCAGTATGGTAGAGTTAATACCCTTAGGAAGAAACCCTTTGTCAAAGAACGATTGAACAGCAGTAACAAAATCTTTCCCGGTTATTAACCAGGTGGCCTTAAAGAATTCCATAGTAAAACCATCAGGACCAGGGGACTTATCTGCTGCCATAGAGAAGAGCACCTTCTTAAGCTCTTCCATCGTCACATCTCTAATTAACATCCTTCTATCATCCTCAGAGCATTCAAAGTCAAGTAACGTCTTTAACTCGTCTGCGCTAGCTCCTTCATA